CATCAAAGAAATATATTAAAACCGAATTATAACAAGAAAACATTCCTGGACTGGGTCCTTTCGAACTGGATGTCATGTGTCCATCAGAAGTTTACCAATAGCTGAAGAAGTAGGATTCTTCGGTTGTGGGGTATAAATTCATTATTAAAGAACATTATTATCATCAAAAGAATATATTAAAACCGAATTATAACAAGAAAACATTCCTGGACTGGAGTCCTTTCGAACTGGATGGCATGTGTCCATCAGCAGTTTACCATTAGCTGAAGAAGTAGGATTCTTCGGTTTTCGGGTATAAATTCATTATTAAATAACACTATTATCATCAAAACAATATATTAAAACCGAATTATAACGAGAAAACTTTTCTGGAGTGAGTCCTTTCGAACAGGATGGCATATATCCATCAGCAGTTTACCAATAGCTGAAGAAGTAGGATTCGTCGGTTGTGGGGTATAAATTCATTATTAAATAACATTATTATCATCAAAAAGAATATATTAAAACCGAATTATAACAAGAAAACATTCCTGGACTGGGTTCTTTCGAACTGGATGGCATGTGTCCATTAGCAGTTTACCATTAGCTGAAGAAGTAGGATTCTTCGGTTGTGGGGTATAAATTCATTATTAAATAACATTATTATCATCAAAAGAATATATTAAAACCGAATTATAACGAGAAAACTTTCCTGCAGTGAGTCCTTTCGAACTGGATGGCATGTGTCCATCAGCAGTTTACCATTAGCTGAAGAAGTAGGATTTTTCGGTTTTCGGGTATAAATTCATTATTAAATAACACTATTATCATCAAAACAATATATTAAAACCGAATTATAACGAGAAAACTTTCCTGGAGTGAGTCCTTTCGAACAGGATGGCATGTGTCCATCAGCAGTTTACCAATAGCTGAAGAAGTAGGATTCGTCGGTTGTGGGGTATAAATTTATTATTAAATAACATTATTATCATCAAAAGAATATATTAAAACCGAATTATAACAAGAAAACATTCCTGGACTGGGTTCTTTCGATCTGGATGGCATGTGTCCATTAGCAGTTTACCATTAGCTGAAGAAGTAGGATTCTTCGGTTGTAGGGTATAAATTCATTATTAAATAACATTATTATCATCAAAAGAATATATTAAAACCGAATTATAACGAGAAAACTTTCCTGGAGTGAGTCCTTTCGAACAGGATGGCATGTGTCCATCAGAAGTTTACCAATAGCTGAAGAAGTAGGATTCATCAGTTGTGGGGTATAAATTCATTATTAAATAACATTATTATCATCAAAAGAATATATTAAAACCGAATTACAACAAGAAAACATTCCTGGACTGGGTCCTTTCGAACTGGATGGCATGTGTCCATCAGCAGTTTACCATTAGCTGAAGAAGTAGGATTCTTCGGTTGTGGGGTATAAATTCGTTATTAAATAACATTATTATCATCAAAAGAATATATTAAAACCGAATTATAACAAGAAAACATTCCTGGACTGGGTCCTTTCGAACTGGATGGCATGTGTCCATCAGCAGTTTACCATTAGCTGAAGAAGTAGGATTCTTCGATTGTGGGGTATAAATTCGTTATTAAATAACATTATTATCGTCAAAAGAATATATTAAAACCGAATTATAACAAGAAAACATTCCTGGACTGGGTCCTTTCGAACTGGATGGCATGTGTCCATCAGCAGTTTACCATTAGCTGAAGAAGTAGGATTCTTCGGTTGTGGGGTATAAATTCATTATTAAATAACATTATTATCATCAAAACAATATATTAAAACCGAATTATAACGAGAAAACTTTCCTGGAGTGAGTCCTTTCGAACAGGATGGCATGTGTCCATCAGCAGTTTACCAATAGCTGAAGAAGTAGGATTCTTCGGTTGTGAGGTATAAATTCATTATTAAATAACATTATTATCATCAAAAGAATATATTAAAACCGAATTATAACAAGAAAACATTCCTGGACCGGGTCCTTTCGAACTGGATGACATGTGTCCATCAGCAGTTTACCATTAGCTGAAGAAGTGGGATTCTTCGGTTGTGGGGTATAAATTCATTATTAAATAACATTATTATCATCAAAAGAATATATTAAAACCGAATTATAACCAGAAAACTTTCCTGGAGTGAGTCCTTTCGAAAAGGATGGCATGAGTCCATCAGCAGTTTACCAATAGCTGAAGAAGTAGGATTCTTCGGTTGTGGGGTATAAATTCATTATTAAATAACATTATTATCATCAAAAGAATATATTAAAACCGAATTATAACGAGAAAACTTTCCTGGGCTGGGTCCTTTCGAACTGGACGGCATCTGTCCATCAGCAGTTTACCATTAGCTGAAGAAGTAGGATTCTTCGGTTGTGGGGTATAAATTCATTTTTAAAAAACATTCTATTCTTCCAGCGATAGTATTAAAAGTGATTTACAAGTTTAAAAGGTATCTGATAAGTATTTTATTCTTACAACCAGTCTAATGTTAAAAAAAATATTTTAAAAAAATTCAAACACAAATTATTTAAAAAATCAGTTGTTTTTATGACAAATTAACCGCGGTTTCGTGCGATAAAACATCTGTTGGTGCAGAAAAGTAAACACGGACAGACGATACACGTGAAATAGCATTTTCGAATTTCGTACTGATAGTGTGGGTGAGACAGAAATAGTACCAAACACACACGCGCGAGTCATTCTAACAATAAAAGTCTCGGCAGAAAGACAGTATCGTATCCAGGATTAATAATAAAAAAGTATACCTATTTGTTAAAAATTGATAATTTTGTATTAAAAGTATTAAAAAATGTTTTTTTTTTGGTACAAATCTGTAACATTGGTACAAATCTGTAAATTCAATGGTTTGAGTAGTTATATATTGAAGTTATTGTTTATATATGAAGACATGATGGCCTAACTAGCAAACCTGCTTGTAATTCGACTAATATTTATTAAAATTATAAAAAATTGGGCAAGTGCGAGTCGGACTCGCGCACGAAGGGTACCGTGCCATTCATTATCTATACAACATTAGATACTATATTATTATAAACTTTTTTTCCGATTTAGCTGAAATTTTGAATGCGCGTATAAGTAATTTAAAAAAAATGAAGAAACACATTACTAAAAATTGTGTTAATCAATAATAAATATGTAAAAAATAAAAATAAATATGCAAAAATATGTGAAAATTAAAAAAACGATTAAAAAAAAGTCGCCTTGACTAGGATTCGAACCTGCCTTACTACGGCTCCAACGTCATAGCAGCGTAAAGTCCTAACGCTTTAAACCACGCGGCCACCGAGGATTTGAAAGATTCTATGTAAAATTCTTACTTAAAACATAATTTTGTTTGAAAGTACTTTTTTATTTATAAAAATTTATTTAATTCTGTTTTTAGTATTTGTTCTTATAGCGGTAACATTATCTGTAAAAATTTCAACTGTCTAGCTATAACGGTTCATACGATAGACCCTTGTGACAGACGGACAGACGGACGGACAGCTAAGTCGTAGTAATAGGGTTCCCGTTTTTACCCTTTGGGTACGGAACCCTAAGAAACACACTGAAAAAAAGGATCTCTCAGTCGAAATGAATATGACTTTGACCCAAAAGATTGGCGCTTTTCAATAGGGCCAAGAACGACGTTTCTTTGCCCAAAGTATTAACTATCTTTTCATCAGCTTTAAAAAATAACTTTAGAGAATAGAAGAATCTATCTGTCCAAAATATTTCACTCTTGACCCAAAATGAATATGCAAAGAAGTTCTTGCTACAAGAACAATAGTCTCTTTAATTCATGCAAAAATTCTTGATTGAAAAGGGACATTTCTTGATTAAAGAGACACTTTTCTTAAACAAATAGCGAATATTATTGAGTCAACTAAAATTTATTTTGATCTAAGAGAAGTCTGTACTTCATATACAGGCATATTACGAGGTATATTATTTTCTGATAAATTTAGGTTTTCCTGGTCTGCAGTAAGTAAAGTGATATTATTTTCCTCGATAGTAGATATTTCTGCTTCTTCACTCCTTGGTATTTTTTGGGGTGGTTCATCACTCTACAAATTACAAACAAATGTTACATCAAGATTAATCAAAGTAAAGAAAATAAATTATTAAGCTTTGGTCACATTTTGAATTTTTTAATAAGACGACTTGAAATTCTAAAATTTTTGTAATTATTTGCATAAAAAATCGATACCTATATTCTTATTCTATCTATAGTCACACATGCATTATTTAAACAGGTGCATTAGGTAAATGTCTCTTACCTTCAAATATAGCAAATAAATGCTCTAATTTCCATTTTTTCAGAAACCCCTTTAAAGTATCCATATATCCTAAAATTTGTCCATAAAAAATGACAAATGCATGTTAATAACGATCACTAATTTGTTATACGAAATGCGTTTAAAAAGCAAATTATGCAAAATTCCAACTGGAAAATTCCAAGCAACAAAACCCGTGCGCACTATGATGTACGACTGATCGGACTGCCGACTGATTGTATATACCGTCCTTCGTCATCGTCTTTGCGTGTTGTTATTATTTTTCGTCAAAAGAGTATTTAGCTATTGGAAAAATGGCCATGTTTCTTGAATGAAGTACTTCCTAGCGTATTTTTCTTATTATCTTAAAACAAAGTAACTTGCACTTGGTTGAATGAAAATAGATTCAAGAGAAATTTTCGAATTTTTCAAGAGAACCAGTTTTCTTGAGTTAAGAGAGTTTTTCTTCAGGCAAAATATTTTCTTATACGCTAAAATAAATTCTCTTGCCACTAAATTTTTTTTTTCAAGAACGATGACGACTTTAGTTCAAGTCTATCTTTTTAACCAGTGCACTTGAAAAATTGTAGATATATAATTTTACCCAACTAATGGACTTAAAATTTTTCTCCAATCCGGTACTGGGCTACTTCGGGCACTGCCAAAAAATCCCGCAACTGTTTTCATTCCATACCATTGCCAAGAGTCATCACGAACAGCGTAACTATTAAGATTTCGTAAAAATTATTTTTCAAAACTCATCAACCGGTGGTGGCAGTGCGCCATTGTGAAATTTGCCATTGAAAATTCGAGTTTGTAGTCAAAAAAATACCCTTCGGTAATTACTAGGTGTTTGAAACTTGTTATGGAGATCTCAAAGTGCTTTTTTCTATAGTTTTATCGTTTGTATATTATTAAATACGTCAGAGTAGTGGGTAAATATGTTTAAATTATATTTTTAACAATTAATTACTAAAATTAAAGAGTGTGTTAATGCATTAAATAATTAATTTTTTCTAATAAATGTGTAATTTTTGCTTATACGTTTTTTCTTTTTGTTTTTTTTATCCCTCCGTTATACTAAACTCGACTTTATTGGTTCATTTTGGATTTTGAATTCTTAAGCTTCATTCGGAACCTCCCAATTAGTGGAATATATTAGTGGTTTCAATTACACTTTATACTTTTTAGTTTACGATCATTCACAATGTCTAAAAGACACAATTAAAATTAATAGAATATCCTAGCAACCGCTTGAGGTAATCAGTTGTATCCTTAGAGAAAGGCTAATATTTAGCTTATAAAACCGTTGAATAAGAAGACTAAGGAAGGAGCATAATGCTATCCATGTATTCATGCATGGTGGGCGGAAAAGCCACCATAAAAGCTCTCTAGGGTGGGGATCCTTGACAGTTCTGTTTGACGATTCATTTGACACATTTGAATTTGATTTGAAATTTTGCGGATTTGTCAGTCTTTACGGAGCTTATTTTATGTTATTTATTATTTATTCTACTACTGATAGTTGTATAAAGGTAGTAAATCTAGATGGAAATTGTGGCAGAACTTAAATTAACAGTGACACTATCGCGATTTATCGAAAAAGACTCTAAAATAGTTGGTTGTGTAGCGTGCGGTAGATCTCGGCAAAATTGAGTGAAATAATGGAAGAACTTTTCGCTAGTAAGTGACTATATAATATACATACGTGTAGTAAACCGATCATTTATGAAATTCACTTAAATTAACTAAATTATATATTTTTCTTGCATTTTAGCTTTTATTTATTACTTGTCAAAGATTAGATGTCAAAGAATTGAGATACGTTAATTTGACTTACCTACTTCAGTAGCGTATCGGATGTTTGTGTTAATAAATACTTATTATAACTTATCTATTTTTATTAGAATTATATATTTTTATAACAATTTTAATAACTACCAACATTTATTCACAACGTAAAATAAAACAACAAATTATTGAGTCTACCCCACGTCTACCCTACATCATAGTTTTACATTTTTTAAATAAAATTAGAACGACACTGATAAACCGGAATTTAAGTCGGCCATATTTGAGGCCCATCGCGGTGTACCTAATATTTTTGATATGCTCCTTCCTTAGACTTCTTATTCAAAGTATAAAACAATACAAAAGTTTATTTCTAACCACAATTTTACTTTACGGATGATTATCAAACGCCAAAATGACATTTCTCGCAAATTTTGAAGTATAGTCTATCCAACGAGAAGATCCTTGACAGTGATAGATGTGTCTGTCATTTTAATTTCAAAGTAGTTTATTTTATTTTACAAAGAAATAAGTTGGTACAACTGGAACGCATAGCAGGAAATTAATATATTAATTTAAAATTTGACTGACAAGTAACATCAAAATATTGTGAAAAAAACTGTATAAAACTAAAAACATGTAATCGGGTTATTTTATTTAATAAAAAACGGTATGTGTTAATACAAAACAAACAAAAACAAGACACCACATACCAAAAAATATATAAAAGAACTATTTCTTACTTTCAAGCCTTATGAAACTTCCCGCATTTATGATTATATTTATCAATATAACTTATCTACAAATAGAAATTTGTAATATTCCGCAGGAATAAATAAAACAACACAAATAAAACAAACTATTTTATTAATAATAACACTTACCAAATTTTATACCTCACAGGTTGATTAATTAACTTTAATCATAATTTTTTTAAACCAGTACCTTTTGACATTATTTTTCTGCAGTACTAAAATCCATTATTTACCTATCGTGTGATGTCGATATTTTACAGATACTCCAGTTTTTAGTATGTGTTTAGTATGGTCCTTCTACCATATTCGATGCACTTATCTACGACGAGATGGTTTATTGATAGTAACTTTATTGGTGTATCTGTATAAGACCACATTATAAGACTTTCTGCCTGGGCAGCGAGTATTGACCATAAACTGTGCTCTGGGTTCTACAGTTAATTTTCACTCGATTTTTCCTCTACTTGACTTCAAAAGACACAAAACACACGTAATAACACGAATCAAAATGCATCATCTTCCAAAACGCAGGGTATTTGACAAAAGTTGTCACAAAATTATAACCTATAATTTAGCAAGACTTTGACAAACGTCAAAAATCTAAAGGCGAGCTCATACGCATCGGCGTCCGTTTGTCGTTCATCGTTCCGTCAAACCAATAAAATTGAAAATACGATCTGTCATTTTGAAATAAACCAATAAAACTGGTTAAAAACAACAAGTGACGACGCATGACGAATTTATATTTAAAGCCATCCATAGTTAACTTAAAAATTATTAGAAACTTTTTTTAGTAAAATAAATAGATTGGTATGACACGTCATCTGCTTTTCTTCTGTCATCGTCTGTCGAAATCTTACCTGAGAAAAAAAACAGAGTATATAATTAGTGGAAAAGTTAAAAGTTTGATAACTTTTTCGACTAATTCAAAATTCCTACAACTAATTTTGACGTTCTAAGTTCTTACATTCAAATTAAAGAAACATACTTCTAATTGACTTATTGAAACCACTAATTTAAACGACTAATTTATTCTACTAATTGGGAGGTTCTGAATGAAGCTTAAGGCTACTATGAGACTATAAAATTTCTTTGTAAAAGATCTTTTAAAAAGATATTTGATGAAACATTTGACAGTATTAATATACAATATCTTATAAAATTACACATATTACGCTGTCAAATTCTTCATAAAATATCTTTATCCTTAAATAAAATATTTAAAAAAGACATTTGATAGTGTTATAGTGGCTTTATTTTAACCACAATTAATTTTGACGGATGATAATAATCAAAAGTCAAAATGACATTACTAGCAAGTGTAATTAGTGGAAAAAATTAAAAGTTTCGATCGAAAATTACCAGTACTAATTTTGACGCTCTGAATTCTTACATTGGCATTAGAGGAACAAATTTCTACGCTTACTGCAACCACTAATTTATACCACTAATTACGAGGTTCTTAATGAAACTTTATATACTTAAAACTAGTTTTTTTTTCTAAGTGTTAAGGGTCAATCCTATGTCAGAAACACTACGACATGTAAGCTCAATTGTGTTTGTCCCCCCCTGCCTATGTCTCCACCTGATCTCCTACCCCTGTACCCTGCACCAACTTGTGCAGGTCCTTGATAGGATGGGAGCATAGTTCCTTCAATTCTAGTTATGCTTCCCCAAATAGAAAGTATTCATTATGTGCTCTAGCTGTTTCAGGATCTTTATCATGGAGTCTGAAGCAAAGACTTCCTTGATACAAGTTGAGCTTGTTCAGTTATCACTTGACAGCCATATGTCCTGTCAAGGAACCTGTTATAATCCGTATTTTATTCCTGCTCAGTATTAGTATACAGGGTGGTTCGGCAGCATATTCTGCTGGTAAAAATAAGTAAAAAAGTTCATATAAATGTATGTCCGAAAATGGTTAGTTTCAGAGATACAGGGTGTAGAAGTTTCATTTCTATTTCGATTTTTTCCAAATAATTTCTGAAGTAACGTCAATATTTGGATGAAAATTGGTGTCTAGGAGTTTTTTGACATGAGAAATTTGATTTTGATATAAATATGACTCTACTACTGGTAGAGGGCGCCACCTACATGTGTTTTAACTGTTTTGAAGAGTAATAACTTTTGTCCGTACCTGTATGAAAACTACCGAAGAAAAAAATATACATCTCTGTGACTTTTTACGTAAAAAATATCTCTTTGTAAAAATTGCTACGAGCAACCGTTCTGAAGATATTTAGAATGGAAATAGTCAATGCATGTCATTATTGATGAAAAAATAAACACGTTGAGTCGATAGTTATTTCACTGAAATAATAAATTTGGAAAATTTTTTATTTTTTAAATTAATCATAAATTTTTCTGCAAAAAATTATGATAAAACAGTTTCTGTTGAACTTTTGGCACAAAACTTTCAAATTTATGCTCTCAGTCTAATAACTATTTAGTCAACATGTTTAATTTATGTCAATGATGACAGGTATTGATAATTTCGATTCCAAATACCTCGAAAACCAATACAATAGTAGCGATTTTACCAAGAGACATTTTTACGTAAAAACGTCGTAAAATGTATATTTTTTACTCAGTAGTTTTATACAGATACGGAAGAAAAGTTATTACTTTTCAAACCAATTAAAAATATCTAGGTGGCGCCCTCTACTAGTAGGAGTCATATTGACATCAAAATCAAATTTCTCATGTCAAAATACTCCAGACACAAATTTTCATCTAAATATCGAGATTACTTCAGAAATTATTTGGAAAAAATTGAAATAAAAATGAAACTTCTACACCTGTATCTCCGAAACTAAGCATTTTCGGACATATATTTATACGAAAATTTTTACTTACTTTTATCTACAGAATATGCTGCCGAAGTTTCCGCAATACAGTTCGGACCACCTGTATAGTTCCTTTGTGATTTTAGAATTAGGTCCTTGCATGAAGTCCTGTGTCTCAGTCTGTTTCTCCAGTGGATGGTCTGCTTTATTAAATCTAGTGACTACATCAAATTAACTATTTTAAACACAGTTTTTTATTAGGTAGATTGCCTATAATGACGGGAGCTGAAGACTATCTCAAAGAAATTATTAGACTGCAACTGAAGAAGCCCAGAAATTGGAATTGGGAACTGTCAACTTCGAGATCTTCGCCACATATTAGTTTACCAACGATTCAGCTTTATAACTCTAAAGGGAAACTTCTTGGTAAGCATTTACCTCGATTAGTTAATTTTTGTATGTCTTTTTTTTTTTTTTTGACTGACAGGCAAAACGTAAGATAAAACGTTAAGGTAGCGGAGGCTTTAGTCAAAGAATATATTTTATTTAAAGTCTCTGTTATGCCTAGAAGTGTGTTCTTTTTTATTTTTTCATTTTAGTGTCTTTAAGGTGTCTTAACTAATAACTAATATATATTTTGGTTTGAATGATACTTATTTAAGCCTAAAAGTGCTATTAAACAAAAAAAAAGATAAATTCAATAAAGTAAAAGGTATGAAGTTAGTGATCTAATTTTAAAATTTAGTTGAAACCAAAGATGATGGTTCCAGTTCAAGACAAAGTTGGAAAAGCTCGGATACTAAAGCTGATAGAACTCAAATACATATACAAAAATGCAGAAGCGAGAATCTTGAACAGAAACTGGCAAAAATCAGGTAACTTTTTCCATAATTTTACAGATTTATATTCGAACAAATAATATATACAAGTGTTACTTTACAGGATGTCCCATTAAGAATAGCTCTCGGCTGTATCTCGGAAAGTATTAGCCGCAGGGCCTACGGAAAAAGATATGTATAACTAAAGGGGCTATGAGAAATCTCTGGAAATTATTTTCAAGTTTGTAAAACGGTCGCTAGAGGGCGCAACTGCTATGGAAAATAAAAAAATACGATTTTTACAGAATTTTGCCTAGATAATGGGTACTATAAATAATAGCTTCATAATCTTTAGTAAATTCTGGATTTTCTTTGTTAGAACCATTTTCCCCTGTCAGCTAAAATAAAGTGGTGGGGGAAGGTTAGATCTGTCTTTATTTAAATGTTAATAACTCCGGACTACTCTCTCTCTCTCTCTCATCTCTGAATGATCAGAATCCAATAAACGAGAGCTCGTTTAAAAAGAGCGTTTCTTACTCTATATTATAGCATAAAAATAATAATAATAAGGTTTTGAACGTAGACGCTAAGGCGCTTTCTTACAATTTGACAAACATAGCGCGTTTTTTCAAAAAATTAAATACAATAGTATGTGTTATTTTAGCTGATAGTAAAGAGTAGTAAAGCTTAAAGTCAGCGAAAAGCGCATCTTGATATCTTCTTTTAAACCGAAGATATTAGCAAAATTATAATAAATACCAAAAAATAAGCCCTTAATTACCTTTTACAGTATCAGTAGCCCTCTTGATTAGGCCCATTCGAACAAAAAAATAAGATAGAAACAGTTAGTTTATTTTAAAATCGACGATATACCAGAATACCATAATTACCAGATGTATTAATATCTAATAATTAAGATATTAATAATAGTGAACAAGAAACGATGATTCAGTGAAGTCATGGTAGGCTTTGCAAAAAAGTTGCTTTTCGCGTAATAGTATAAACGTCAAATTGTTATTAGATCAACATTTTGATAGTCTCAGCAGCGTTTTTTATCTTTTAAATGCTTTTTCAAAATGCTTTTATTATTTGAAGTAGTTGAATTTGTTGGCATTTTTAAAAAGCAATCAAAAGATAAAAAACTCTGCTAAAATGACTATCAAAATGTTGATCTAATAACAATTTGACGTTTATACTATTACGTCAAAAGCAACTTTTTCCAAAGCCTACCATGACTTCACTGAATCATCGTTTCTTGTTCACTATTATTAATATCTTAATTATTAGATATTAATACATCTGCTATTATAATATTCTGGTATATCGTCGATTTTAAAATAAACTAACTGTTTTTATCTTATTTTTAGATTAGAATGGGCATAATCAAGAGGGCTACTGATACCGTGTTGTAAAAATAAGGTAATTAAGGGCTTATTTTTGGTATTTATTATAATTTTGCTAATATCTTCGGTTTGAAAGAAGATATCAAGATGCGGTTTTCGCTGACTTTTAAGCTTTTACTACTCTTTACTATCAGCTAAAAGTACGTATACTGTTGCATTTAATTTTTTGAAAAACGCGCAATGTTTGTTAAATTGTAAGACAACGCCCCTAGTGTCTACGTTCAAAAGCTTATTATTATTGTTTATATGGCACAATATAGAGTAAGAAACGCTCTTTAAACGAGCCCGAGCTTGTTGGATTCCGATCATCCAGTCCAGAGTTATTAATATTCAAATCAAAATAGATCTAACCTTCCCCACCACTTTATTTTGGTAGATAGGGGAAAATGGCTCTAACAAAAATATTCAAAACTTACTGAAGATTATGAAGCTGTTACTTATAGTACACCTTATCTATGCAAAATTGTGTAAAAACTCCATTTTCTTATTTTTTTGTTGCAGTTGCGCCTCCTAGCGGTCGTTCTACAAACTTGAAAATAATTTCCGGCAATTTCCCATAGCCTCTTTAGTTATAAATATTTTTTTCCGCACTCGCTACGGCTAATACTTTCCGAGATACAGCCGAGAGCTATTCTTAGTGGGACACCCTGTACAAGGTACAGACTTTAATAAATACATAAGCTGGCCTGTATTGAACAGTCGGAAAAAACTTTCTTAGAGTTTTGTATCTTACAAACAAAAGATTTATTTAGAAATAAACTAAGATTCAACACAAGTTTCTAGAAACTTAATGAAACTTTTGCAATATCAGACTCACTGTACAATCCCCGACGAATCCAAAAGTAGAACAGTAAAGAGATTAAAGTTAATTGCTAAAAGTTAGTTGGAAAGACCTACCTAATTTAATATTATATTTTCTTATCCAACCGACTTTGTTTACTTTGCAAAATTAGTAAAGTTTTTTTAAATTTTTATTATTTATTAATTTTCTTTTTATTTTTTAGTGAGTTTGAATCAAATCGTTTAAAAAACAAGTATGTCAAAAGATGTCGCAGCGATACCTTAACTGACTCAGTACTATTACCTAGTAGAAGAAAAAATAGGTCTAGTGAAGCTGTAATTAGTAGTGACAGAAGTAGAAACAAAGGTAAAGATAAAAAACTTACTTAACATACAGGATGTTTTTGAAATAAGTGCAAGTACCTCATGATAAAAAAAAACGGCGTCAAAGACGACTGGCGAATGATAATCGATGATTATTTTGGCGAGGTCATTCTCTAAACGTCAAAAATTAACACTAATTATAGAAAACTTAAAAAAGTATAAGACACCATTTAAAAATCATTTTAAAAATCAAAAAAATAAAGAATACGGGCCAAATAATGATGTCTAGGGTTTGACATCGACAAAATTATCATCGATTGTCATTCCCCAGCCGTTTTTGACGCCGTTTTTTTTTTCGATCGCATGGTATAATGTGTTGGATATAAATGTACGTAAATATTTCTTTAGATAAAGGAGTCTTAGATGAAGTACCTGTTGACAGGCCATCAACACAAAGAACTCTAAATGAGAGACTCAGAGATATAGAGCAGAGAAGACTGTACGGACTGCAAAAATCAAAAAGCGATGTAATAGACATTCAAGGTATGATTCAACACTGTCGGTCTACAGTATGTCCACGCATTGTCTTTACAAGTGGAAAATCTTTTTATTATATTATTATTGACATTTTGAGAAAAATGCATTCTTACAACATGACTGAAAGTGTGGGACCCACTTTATTTAATTTTAAACGAAATTATTAATTTTTGAGAGTTTTTCTTTTATACCCTTGTTTCCAATTGGACTTTTTTGACTTTGCTAACGTTGCTTAGGTCAATTTAAACGAATTTAATGGTTTTAAATGCACACAAACTATTCAGCATATTCGCACAACATGACTGAAAGTGTGCCCACTTTATACCATTTTTTTAAAGACAATCCGGAGACATACTGTGTATAAAAATTGAAAAACACCCGGTATTTCTGGATTATATTGAAATTTTGCTAATTTTTAGTTAAATCAAAACCATCTCAACACGTTCAAAGACCTTACCACCGAAGAACTGGTAGTGACGATTTATTCCAGAAGTCCTGGCACAAATACAACATAAAAGAAAGCCTGAAAAGAGCAGAAAAAGATGGTTACAAGAATTTTCTGGATACCACGCCTTACCGGGCATGTTCCGTGGATAGATCTAGCGATAGAAACAGAAAAAAGCCTGTTCCAGGATATCTGGAAACAGCTGAGACAGTTTTTTGCAACAACAAACCTCAAAATTTCGAGGTAAATCCATATTTTTTTTATACCAGAAACTTTAACTTTACAGGGTGTGAAAAAAATAGTGTTCTAAACTTCAGTAGATGATTCTATGGATAAAAATAAAACAAAAAGTTCCTCTAGACATATATGCTTTAAAATGCTTCCTGAAGAAGTTACAGCTCCTGATATTATTTACAGTCCTTACAGCCTTCACTCTTTCAGATCTTCTTGAGTTATAACTCATCATAAAGTCTCAGGCCCTTTACAAAAGCCAGTATCTAAGACTGTTTTACAGAAATTAGTTCTCCATCTCCGATATCAGTCGTACAAAAGTTTATAGCACTTATGGAGTCTTCCATGTTCTTGAATACTGCTTTAAGTTTCATTTGTTTATAGGAACATTTTGTTTTGTTTTTATCTGAAAAATCATCCACTGAAATTTGGTACACTATTTCATTGACACCCTGTACATTTTTCAAGATCAAGGACGTAGAAAAACCAAAAAGGTACAGACTGAGACAGAGTAGAGCGGGTATCTTGGTGATCAGTGACGAGAGCTTCAGTTCGAGTCACAGAAAAAGGTGTCACGGTGACCTGGGCGATTGTAGGGAAGACAGTGGTGACGTAATTATAGAAGGAGATCTGACAAGTTCCGTAGAAGATTTGAACGAGCTAAGAAAAAGGTATGGTTTATATTAAATCGAATTAAATGAAAAAATACCATACAACCCAAAAAAAAGGGCGTCAAATGAACGGGCAACGACAATCAAAAATAATTTTGTCTAGGTCAAGCTCTAGACTTCATTTATTTTGCCCGTACTCTTCGTTATTTTTTAATGGCGTTTATTTGTGTAAAAATTATTTTTAAATGGTGTAGGTGGTTAAAATAAAATAATTATTTTTAACTTCTGGCGTTGAAAATAATTATTTTTATGTCCATGTCAATCAATGTCTAATATAAACATGTCACGGCAAATTAACTAATGGTTTTTTGTAATTATTTAATGTGTTTTTTAATAAAATAAACATATTTTTAAAAGCTTTTTATTGTAAAATTGTAATAAACTGATTTATATAAAGAATTATTTTTTTTATTTATGAAAATGTATGTGTAAAAAGAAAGTTTAAATAATTATGTGAAAATCTACAATATCTCTATTGTAAAATAACAAAATAAGGATGCTTTTCAATGTTTATCACCTAATTTAATCATGAAATTCCCACGAAATACGTTTATTATTATTTTCCAAACTCGATTTAGCTTTGTAAACCTCTAATTAGCTTGGTCTGAGTTCAATTAACAATTTTGATGTTAATTAAAACAACTAATTAGTCTTCGAGGTGAAAAATCGATAGATATTTTCTATAGACAGGGTGATTCTTTTATTTTACAGTTTTGTGAATGTTTTGAAATTGTTTAGAATGTTTGTACAACACGACTGAATGTGTGCAACATACTTTAAGTTTTTAAATATGATATTTAAGCTGCTTGGCATAGTTGACAGTTGACTATTTATACGATATGACTGGAAGTGGCGAACCCACTTTAAATCTTTCATAAAGAAAAATTAATATTTTTTTATTTTTAATTAATATTTTTTAATTTCTTTTACTTTGCTGACGTTGATTATGTCAATTTAGACGATTTTTTTTTTACAAATACTATTCAGCATAGTCGTACAACTTGTTTCGAAGTGTGAGACTCACTTTATTTTATTTTTATACGAAAATGATTAATTTTGTTTCATACCCTTCTTTTCAAATGACATTGATCAAGTTGATTAGATAAATTTAAATAAAATTTAAGGGTTCCAGGTGCACGAAAACTATTCAGCATATTCGTATAACTTGTCTGGAAGTGTGGAATCCGCTTTATTTTATTTTTATATGAAAACGATTAATTTTGGAGGGTGTTCTTTTATACCCTTGTTTCCAATTGACTTTTTGACACTGTTGACATTGATTAGGCGAATTTAAACAAAATTAATGATTTTAAGTCCACAAAAACTATTCAGCATATTCGTAAAACATGACTAAAAGTGTGTGGGATCTACTTTATTTGTGTGGGGCCCACTTTATTTAATTATAAACAAAAATTATTAATTTTGGAGAGTTTTCTTTTATACCCTTGTTTTCAATTGACTTCTTTTGACTTCACTGACGTTGCTTAGGTAATTTTAAACAAATTTAATGGTTTTAAGTGCACACAAATTATTCATCATATTCGTGCAACAAGACTGAAAGTGTGGAATCCACTTTATATCATTTTCATACGAAAATGATTAATTTTTGGTTGTTTACTTTTATACTCTTGATTTTAATAGGCTTTTTTGACATTGCTGAAGCTGATTACACAAATTTAAACAAATTTAAGAGGTCTAAGAGCAAAAAAAAACTATTCGGCATATACGTCAAACATGATTGAAAGTGTGGGACCCACTTTATATCATTTTTATACGAAAACAATTAATTTTTGGGGAGTTTATTTTTACACCCTTTTTCCTGTTTGAGTTTTTTGACTTTGCTGGCGTTTATTAAGCCAATTTAAATGAATTTAATGGTTATAAGTGCACAAAAACTATTTAGCATACCCGTACAACATGACTGGAAGTGTGGAACCCACTTTATTTAATTTTTATAAGAAAATGATTAATTTTCAGAGGTTTTCTTTTATACCCTTGTTTCTAATTGACATTTTTGACATTCTCAATATTGATTAGACCGAGGATTAGACCAATTTAAAAAAAATTAATGGTTTTAAATGCACAAAAACTACACAACATATCCGTACAACATGACTGAAAGTGTGGAATCCACTTTATTTAATTTTTATACGAAAATCATTAATTTTCGGGGGTTTTCTTCTATACCCTTGTTTCTAATTGACATTTTTGACATTGTTGGCGTTGATTAGGCCAATCCCGGACCACGGACGACCGTTCAGGCAGGCCAGCGATCCGGCAGGTGTTTGGACAGCGCGATTGCCGACGAATCGATACGGTATCGGACCTAGGACGATGACGTCGACGTGTCCCGATGACGTCAGAGCCATCGCCGGACGAGGGCAGTCCTGCAGGTACTTCTTAAGTGACGTTGCCAAATATTACAGTTTTTCTAAAATATTTAGATCTACAGGGTTTTCCTTAACGACATACTAATATACAGGGTGTTTCAAAAAACATGTGCCATGTCTCGTGGGGAGATTCCTCAAATAAAAATAAGATTGATTTTTCATATCAACGTATGTCCGATTAGTTTTGTTTCGTAGCTACAGACGTAGTCGTAAAAGACAGACGATTGGTTAATCAGTGTCAAAGACAAAGATAATCAGAGGATCGAATATCGCTGATGTGTCTTCAACAAAAATGAAGCGAATTTATTTATCCACGAAGTTTATAAGATCTAGGGGTAAAAGTTATATTGACAATCACGTCGCAAAAACCTTTGAATAAGAAGACTAAGGAAGGAGCATAATGCTATCCATGTATTCATGCATGGTGGGCGGAAAAAGCACTCTAGGGATGGGATCCTTTACAGTTCTGTTTGACGATTTATTTGACACATTTAAATTTGATTTGAAATTTTATGGATTTGTCAGTCTTTACGGAGCTTATTTTATATTATTTATTATTTATTCTACTACTGATAGTTGTATAAAGGTAGTAAATCTAGATGGAAATTGTGGTAGAACTTAAATTAACAGTGACACTATCGCGATTTATCGAAAAAGGCTCTAAAATGGTTGTGTAGCGTGCGGTAGATCTCGGCAAAAATCCAGTGAAATAATGGAACAACTTTTCGCTAGTAAGTGACTATAAAATATACATACGTGTAGTAAACCGATAATTTATGAAATTCACTTAAATTAACTAATTATATTTTTTCTTGCATTTTTGCTTTTATTTACTACTTGTCAAAGATTAGATATCAAAGAATTTAGATACGTCAATTTGATTTACCAGATTTACCTGCTTCAGTAGCGTATCGGATGTTTGTGTTAATAAAATAATTATTATAACTTATCTATTTTTATTAGAATTATATATTTTTGTAACAATTTTAATAACTACCAACATTTATTCACAACGTCAAATAAAACAACATATTATTGAGTCTACCCCACGTCTACCCTACATCATAGTTTTACATTTTTTAAATAAAATTAGAACGGCACTGATAAACCGGAATTTAAGTCGGCCATATTTGAGCCCATCGCGGTGGACCTAAGATTTTTGATATATGCTCCTTCCTTAGTCTTCTTATTCAAAGGCAAAAACTAATGACGTTTGATTTTTTTTTAAATTCTACCACCCTGTATATCAAAATTTAAGATGTTTATGATATACTTTCATTTAAAGTTCTTTCCTCAAAAAATTATTTCTTTAAATATTATTATGTCATTAAGGAACACTTTTATAGAATTAGTAAAAAGCTTGAGCTGACAACGTGGCAATTCTCGACTGCAAATAAGAAACTGGATAATTCTTCTTTGATAAATGCGCCAGAAATATGAAAAAGTACATATTAAATCATTATTGTTTATTCCAAAACACTTCTTGAACTATAAAATTATCGAAAAAAACACTTTTCAATGCGAGTTTTGTTCAAGTTTAAATAACAATATTTCCTTTACGCGGAAAAGCTTGTCTGAAAACACGAAATAAACGAGCTCGAGACACATTTTATGGAGAAAACGTGCCTCGAGCCTCACTTTTCGGGCCCCTCGTGCCAGCGAAGCCCTACTAAGCCCCCGGGTGGATTTACGAGGCAATTTTGGCGAATTTTCCGTATTATTTTGAATTTCTACGGGTTTTCCGGGGCCTAGCGCCGCTAAAATTGGTTTTCCGGCCTTCCAGCGCGGTTGTCAAAGACATCAAACTGGATTATTTGAGTTAGAATGGATTAAAAATCTACGCAGACTAGATTTTAAGTGGTTTCTTTAGTTAAACTTGATATTTGGTTAAGATAAAGAAAACAAGTCACTTGTGGCCCAACTACAAAGAATGTTTTTAAGTATGTGAGGGAAGGTACACCATAATTAAAAATTGTTGAATAAGCTGAGATTGATGATGATAATGATGACGTTCTAATAAAAAAAATCATCCCGATCTCCTCACATTTTTTTGAGACACTTTTTTATTAGACTACTCATATTTTGAGTAAAAATTGTATTTAATATATTTATAATAGCATTTCTTTTCGAAGTTACAAAACTCCTGGTTCTGAGACGCAACTATTCTATTCCAAAAGTGATGTATTTCCATTCCATCATCTTACCAAAGACTGCAACTATCCAGAAGAGAAGAAATACAGAGATCTTCCTGTCGAGATGGATGCCAATTGCAACTATACAGTTCAGGAGCCTCTTACAACCCCTAATAGTGAGAGTGGTAAGGATATAGCTGAAGAAATATCGAAAAGAAGAAGAAGAAGAATTGGAAGGAGATATACTGATGGATCTACTTCGTCTAGCACAGCTTTGGATGAGATTCAGACAGGTGAGTAAATGTTTGTGCCTTTTTTGCTTTGGTTAATGCCACCTAATGATATCAGGGGTTCATATTGGGAGAGGTAATGGGTGTAATTACTCTATATAATCTGGGAACAATACAGTATTGTTCGGAAATAGTCTTAAGTCAAGAATGCAATTAGTATTATCTAATTTCAAAGTGTAAAGTACTTACCGCAGATCGAAGTGTCGGTTGAAATTTGGAAAGAACTAGAAGATAAATTGGAGAAGGCAGGAGTTATCTTGATCAATATACAGCTGTTGCGAAAAAAGATAAATACATCATAAATATTTTCTGACAACGATTGTTGATTCTGGGGAATGAAGATACAGTCTAACATCAGAAGAACCTAGTTCTGCACTAGAGTTTGCGAATAAAATGTATTCGAACAGCGGATTTTTGTCACTTGTACATAAATTTCTGCCGTTTAGAGGTCTAATGGATTCACACAAAATTACTTCAAAAAACGGTTCAACATTTTAATTAATGAATAGATGAAGTAGGTATAAGTACTTGGTGAAGTAGGTATATTCCCTAATAATTTTTAATATAGTTTTATAATATTTACAACTACTGTTCAATTTATTAAAAGTATTTAAACGTTATAATGGCAAGTGTAACATTTTATTTCATGGACATATATAGGGTAAATCTGTTATAGAAATATTGTTATAGTTTTCTAAGACACAATTTTATGACTTTTATAGTTATTTTTCGATTTATCATAAAGTTTTAAAAAAGTTGATTTTTTTATTTAAATCACATGATTAAAATAAAAATATTACTTGATTTAAATCACGATTTAAATCATGCCAACCCTAACCCTGATTGAACTAAATAAATGTTGTGCTTCTTTAACGTTTTAAAACAGCAAAAAATATGACGTCAATTAAAATTCTATCGATAACAATCTATCAAAGAACGAAAACGAAATTATATTAACAACATATATAATAACAAAATGTCAGTAAGAAAAATGTTTTTCCTCTTGTAAAGACAATCCTGGAACATACTGTATATGGTTAGTCTACGAGAAAACAGTAAGTTCTTGGAAAGAAAAATAATTTCACATATCATTAGTCTATTGACGTCCCCATTTTATTGATACAATCTATTTCTGGATGTTTACGATATAAAATAAGACAATATTATTTACGCAGTGTTGCTTATTGATTTCGAGAACGGATGAAAAATAGCCAAAGAAACTGTTGTCGCCCTGGACGAGATCTAATAAAACTGGATATTTGTCAAGATTTTCCGACAATGATACGAAATGAGTCAACATTTCCACGACAAACGGCCAGGAAAAAGTGCCAGTCAACCACGAAATCGCTGGAAAAATAGGAAAATTGCGTTTGCTTTGGAAAATTGATACGTTCTGAACTAATAGAACTTTGGCAAATATGAAAAATCACGTTAAAAGAAGTTGTTTTTGAAGATTTACTTCTGGTCTAAAGTTTTGTCTATAGGTAACGTTTTACCTGCCAGTTTTACGTGTCAGGTAAAACGGAAAACCATCTAAAAGCGTTTTTGGAATGGCTATACCGGGTGCGTCTCAAAAGTAGTTCACGTCTATAACTTTTTTATTTTTTAAATAAAAAACGAGATTTGGTACGTTAGTATATGACATAAATAGGATTGATTGATGTATTCAATTATTTTTGGTTTTTGGTCACATCCTGTTTTACCAAAAATGACTACAACTTTTCATTTTTAAATGGCACTCTCGGTATATTTTTACTCTGTTCGATAGAAAATGACGCTCTGGACAGAATGATATAGCATATGTCATTTTTTGACATTTTCACTTAAAAAATCGGTTTTTAAATTTCAATCTAGAGTGACATGGCTGTGTTAAAAACACTAATTTTTAATCAAGGAGCCTTGGAAAAATAAAATGTATCGTCTAATGTTTTTCGTGTCTTGTCCTGGCCGGGTGAAAGACGTCCAAATCTTATTTTTGATCATATCTCTATTTTTGAAAATGGATCAAAGGTTAGCATATTTGAAAAAGGCATTTTTACGAATAATTTGGTACCACACACTTGGTATTTCGAGTCAAATTGTCGTTATGAACCACACGTTATAATTTCAAATAAACCATATGCGAAAATGTCAAAAGTTGATATATGATATGTCATTCTATTCAGAGTGTCATTTTCTATCGAATAAAGTAAAAAAATACAACAAAATACAAACAGGAAGTAATCAAAAACAATTGAATACGTCAATCAATCCTAATTTTTGTCATATACTAAGGTACCAAATCTCGCTTTTTAATCTAAAAAAATAAAAAAGTTATAGGGGTGAGCCACTTTTGAGACGCACCCAGTATTGTTTCACTACTTCTGTCAATAAACTGTAAAAAAAAATCTTTGTACATTTTTTTTAATTAAATTAAAATAATCCGATAATAATTATTGTGTTAATTGAACAGAAATAAACTAAAGAACAATTAAATTAACATTATTTCATTGCAATATTAAATCATAATTAAATTGTTTTTTGTTCATAAAACAATCTATTTTTTGCGAAACAATTCGGGAGCAAAATTGAAAGGTCTTCCCCCAGGATAAGACCCTCGTTCCTGGCAAGTTCCTCCAGGATAGGCCCGGCTGACTGTGGTCTGCCCTACGTTCGTCCTGTCAAGGTCTCTTGCGACGACGCGATCATAGCAGGCTTGCTGCCGCCACAGGAAACACCGTTGCCAATTGTTACGCAAAATATCAGAATAAAAGATTTTTTTTTATTTAAACTATACAGGGTTGTTCACCACATACGACACGGAGTATTGTAGCTAAACGATTAGATTTTTACAAATTGTAAGTTTTAGGTATGTTGAAGGACTATTAGAGTTACAATTTAAAAATATTTTTACAAGATACAGAGTGTCCCAAATAAGTAAAAAATATTATAGTTGTGTTTTTTTTTAAATAGTTTGTTTCACACCCTGTATATAATTACATTTTTAGATTCTACGATTGACATAAAGGTAAATTTGATTAAGGTTTATCACACTTAAACCGTACCGTTTTTGAAATATTTTCAATTTTATGAAATTGCAGTAAACATTTGAAGACTCCATTTCTCCAAGGGTATCAAAGTTTTTAATACTAAATATTTACTGAAGTTTATTTATTGATCAGATATTGTGTTGCAATAATAAAAATAATACTACCTCATACAGAGTGTCTAAAAATGTATTTTAGATAATTTCTAGCTTTAAACGGGAATAACTCGTTTAATTTAAATGGAACACCCTGTATATTTTAGAAGAATCGGATGCACGATTTAAATGTCTATCAAATTGAACTATACCATTTTTTACTTACATATCTCTTCAAGCTTTTGTAGAAAATTCATTTTCTTATAATTTAGACCTCATTTATCACTATAGCCATGGAATATTGACATTTTAGATTATTTTTAAAGATGTAACAAATTTTCAAAGAGAACAGATACTAATATTGTCGTTATAGTTCGCTTATTTCATTAAAAGTTAAAAAAACTGTTTATATATTTTTTGTTTTTTTTTGTATTTTTTGTTAAATTGGACCAATTAATATGATCCCAGTATTCAAACTACATTAATTGACTGTTTACGTTGATTAATAATACTAAAAAATTGAATTTTGTGTATTAGACAGTATGGCAATATTATTATATTTACCACCTGTACATTTTGTACATATGTTACTTTAAAAAAAATCTAAAATATCAATATTGCATGGGTATAGTGATAAATAAAGTCGAAATTATAAGAAAATGCATTTTCTACGAAAACTTGAAGAAATAGGTAAAAAATGGTATAACACAATTTCATAGACAATTAAATTGCGTTATACCATATATCGACATTACCCGGTTAATCTAGAGAATAACACAAAACAAAACAACCAAAAACAAAACAAAACCCAAACATTAACCTGTTAATGTCGACATTAACCGGACATCTAACCGGAAACTTTAACCGTAACATATCGACCAAATACGGTCGAAAATAACAAAGTTGGCGTATCCTGATTTTCCTGCTGGATATTCGGCAACGCCGCTTCCGGCTCGACCTCGCCTCTCTTGGCCCTGCCGCGTTGCCGGCGCTCTGGCAGAGGTCGTCGCGAATCTGCTCCGAGCGGCTCCGCACGCCAATCGTCCGAAACCCGAACTAAAACCACCGAAAACTCGACTTTCCACCACTCGAAACCATGTTTTCCTCCTCGAAACTCACACAGAATCGTTCTAGACTCTATATCTAGTGGCCGGAGTGAGTAAATTCCGATCCGGAGTCATTTTTTCCAAAAAAAAATCAACCGGCATCGGATCTGGTCAAACAGGAGGCTACCCAGAAGAAAAACGATGCTTGGAGCAAGGTACCGATGTTGTTTGATGTTAAATCGAGTTTGTTTTGGTTCTAGAATACCCTTAAGGGTGCGTAATGATGGGTTTTAGTAAAAAAGGGGGTTAAATCTAGAATTGTTGAGATAGATGTACTAAACAAGTATGTTAATACAGATTTTTTGTGATCTTTTTTATATTACACTCTGTGTGTGTATTCGTTATAAGTTTTAATATTTCTGCAAACCCAAAGACACCATCATGATATTTGTCTAACTTATTAGGTCTCCATGGTGAGATAAAATATCATCAGAATCAAAAGACTACTCCAAAAATTATATTTATACCCCGTTTTTATATGTTATTTTTATTATCAACCTTTTTGGTAAAATATACGGACAATAATAGAGAGCACAATTTAAAAATATTTCATGGATATACAGGATGATTCAAATGTAGTTGTATTTTTATAATAAGAAAAGTTAGATATATTTATTCCTGTTGTAATAAGAATTGTTAAAGTTCTCAGAATATTACAGTATACAGTACGTCCCCAGAATTTCTTTACAAGAGGAAAAACGTTTTTATTATTGACATTTTAAGAAAAATGCATGCTTCTTAAACAATTTTGCTTGTTCTAAAATGGTTAATCCTGT